CGGAAAACGAAGGGACTCCAGAAAGGGCAGAGCACGGAAGGCAAAAGGGCTAAGCAGAATAGGAATACGAAGCATGTAAACTCTGAGATCAACAGGTTCAGCTAATCAAGATCATAGGTGACGAGGATCCACAGGTCCCAGGTGTTTAAAACGATAGCTCTGTTCCAGCAGTAGTGGGGTCACCCTATGTTTTTGACTTGGGATCTTCGTTCTTCGCTCAATTTAGTAAATGGAGTATTTTCTCTTTTCTTCTTTTTCTGCTTTCTTCGTTAGTTACCCTTGCCGTGCCGTGTGGAGTAACAAGCTGAGGAGTTTTAAGGTTGGGATATTGCAGCTCTCACCCCTGAACCGTATGATAATTTCAAGGCTGTGGGCGCTAGTCGCTGGGATAGGTAGCATAGTGTCATAACCTGATCCCAATCGACCAGGGAATGGCTTCCGGTTGGTTGGGAACGAGGATAGGAGGGAGATAGCTTATTTTCCTATTCAGGCCTAAATCAAGACTTCCGGTAGGCTAAGTTGCAAGGGAGAGATTCTTAGTATGTTATTTACACTGTTAATTAGCAGGCCCGAGAACTTGGGAAACGGGGCGTTTAGGACGCTGCATGTGCATGCAATTGCGTCTTCTAGACTACAGATGGTCTGGGGGGTGGGTCTTGGACTCTTGGGGACAATGGATGATGATAGCGCGGGACAGGACGTCCATGTAGCAGTTTGAGAGTGTGTGAAGGCGTGAGAGCACTCAGAAGTAGTTTGTTTGAGGGAGACTGAGAGGGTCTGAGAGTCCGATCTTCAGATGCTGTGGATTGAGGACTCCCAGACAGAGAGAGGGGAACTCTCCAGTCTAGAGAAAACTTGCACGGGTAACGAGACGATTAGCCGGGGCCAGAAGGATTTTGCAGAGAAGACCGCGGTGAAATGCGGGTGACCTCGATCAACGGGTACACCTCGAGATTCGTCCATCACAGCTGTTCATTTCCTGGGTTCCCTGAATGGGCGGTTGCACTCCAAGAATAATAATAATGTGTGCCTGAGAATGTCGTCCACATTCCTCAGCTTCTTGCTCCGTCCTGTTTTGCAAAAAATCATCGGTGAGCTCAGTATAAAGGTATACAACAGGTAACTACATATCCTTCATCCCTCCCCCTTTTTCCTTGTTTACCCCTGCCCGCAAAAGTCACTGGCAGCAGCCAGCGAATCCGTAGTTAGCCTCGGCTGAGATGCAGAGCGACAAACCTGGGCTTCTGGGCTTCTGGGCCGCCCCCGCAGTAGTCTGTCTACATGCAGCGTTTATCCGCAACACTGAGAGTTTCTCCTCGTTCTGTCTTCTGATTGGGCTTACTCGCCCGCGGTCTCCCTTCCAGAACTCGGCTAGAATAATACGAAAAGATTACGGGATTAATATGTATACGATATACGGACCAAAACAAATTATCGAAGGGACTTGGAAACGGCTATTACACTGCGGTATAACCGAGTAAATCTCGGCTTTTTCAAACAAACATTGATAGTGTACGGTGGCGTAATTGTTTTCAAAGTTATTCATGATCCACGCCCTACCACACTTTGTAGGAGCTCTTTAAGGATATACATAGGCGTCTATATATATACATGGACACAAAAAACTGACAATCTTCTGTGTACGGCAGCTGTACGTGTATTTTACCACTTCAGTTGTTGATCTTGCACGCTCTACTCTAAACCTCAGTCCGGTTTGTCGTTTGTCGGGGAAAAGGAACACGCGCTAAGAACATTTTTAGAGTGAGTTATCCCCACTCTTACTGCCTCCAAGTGGGTAAGATCCGTACACTTGGGCTCAAGTTCCCCCTGAGGAGGCGAAGCCTGAAGGAAAATCGAGGGCTGCATGGGGACCCTTAGCATGCCCCCAGTTCGTCGATACTAACGAAGAGTCGTGGTTCCTTTTGGTGTGTTTTTGGTACGCTTTAGTTCGCTTTGGTGTTTTCTGGTGCAGATGCGCCAGCTTTCCGGCGGAGTTATCTATGTGTCTCGACTCGACACTCGACAGTGTGTGGTGGTGATGGCCCTCTTCAGGAGGCTTTTCAAACCTCTTGCGGCTTCAAACTAGGAGCCGTAAACGATGGGGCCGGACGGGACCTTGAGTTTTACAAGCTCCGTTGGCATGGTATCTACACCCGCTCACTACTGGCTGAGGCATCTTGACTTATGCGGTTCCGAGGCTAAAGGTTCTAAGGGGAGTCTTAACGGAGAGGATGGATCATCAGGATGCGTATCTCGGGACCAGCAACGGAAGGAGTCAGGGTTTCAAAGGTGGGAAACAGATATAAGTGACAGGTGGGCCGCTTGGAGGACAGAACCGTTGGATGGGTTTTTGTTGTCCACTTCTTATATTATTTCTATATATATCATCCGGCAACAATCAACATACCAACATCCCCAAGTTCGAAGTAAATATATGTCACACACTTCAAGGAACGAAGACGGATAGAAACATTTTCAAATGACAACCCGAAACAACCGGTCCGAGTCCGTTCCCTAACGAGTCTTCGAAATAATCCTCTCGTTCTTCCCCACGTTCCGGTTGGTGATTTATTATCTTCCTATCCTAGTCGCTGACACGAAGCGTGGGGGTGGTCGAATACGGACTCTACGAAGGGGAAACAAAACGCGGGAAAAATCAAAGACCTGAAAAGGTCCCCTGCCTGCAAAAGCGAAACAGAAGACTCACGGCCTCATCAAACCTGAATTGTCCACAGTCTGGCTTTTTGTCTTGATATTTAATTCCAACTTGATACAGCACATGAACGACGTAAATCTGCAACCGAAAGACCAACCCAACCCGCTGGCTGCAGATATAATACCCCGTTTTCAATTATTTGCGAGATCGACTATTTTTGCGGCTTGTGATTTCTCGGCTTTGAGAATATTTTGACTTTTTTTTTTTTTTTTTTTTTTTTAATTTACCCTAGACGCGCCACATTTACGGTTACAGAGAGGTAATCCTATCCTGTACGGAGACCACGCCCAATAGTACCTACCGTCCCCATCTCCGCGAAGGAATATACTGTACAGCTCCCACAAAAGGGCAACAAACACAATTATATATTAACCAAACTCACGCTCGACTCTGGATCCTCGTGTCGACTTCCTCTGCTATTGTGGTTGATTGTTTATCGCCCGCAGAGAAAGAAGAACCGAGGTACAGAACATCCATCTCAAATTTTATCCCGGACTGCATATCAACAAACACATCCATAAAATAAGATCTCCGATCCAAGACCCCGACGGCAACAGCAAGAAAGAACAAGAAGAAAAAGAAAAGAAAGAAAAGAAAGAAAAGAAAGAAAAGAAGAAAAGGAAAAGAAAAAGAAACCTGTCACAAACACATCTTCGACAACAAACACGCGTCTGTCCAGAACAGTTTTATTTCTTTTATCTTCTTTTTGATTTTTGATTTTTGATTTTTGATTTTTATTTTTATTTTTCCAGCTTCGAGACTTGTCGATCTGTCTGATTATTTATCCATATTTTTCACATCCTTCCCGGAACTAAAATCTCTCGAATCGCAGCAGCTCTTGTCCACCAACCCAACCCCAAAACCCGCCTTGCCAATAAAATAATATTCGCCCAACGCCCGATCCCCAAGCTTTAGCTGAACTGCGCCAACTTATCCCCCACAGCCAAGTTGCAAATCTCCAGTCGCAGCTCTCCCGCTGCTACCCACTTAAAAATTCGCACCGTAATCTGGCCATAGTTGGCAGTCCTGCCAGATGAGGTGTCTTGTCTAGAGGGGCACCACTACAGATTACAGGTTCATGTGCAGGACATCCATCTTGTTATTGCTAAGAGTGTGTATCTACGGCAAAGCATCGAGTCGCCGCTCTGCCTTTTTGTCGCCTCAAAATCACTAGCACTCACATCAAACGTAGCCCACGTTGTGATTTCTTCCAGTGTAACTTGGAAGGGTCTGAGTCATTGGCGACAAGACAGCTGAGGCTTATACCCTATATGAGTAATAATTCGCAGCGAATTATTACATTTATCCCAACCCTGTGGCATCTGATAGCAGCCATCCACGGAAGAGATATCAGATATCTCGCGATCCTGCATTTCGATTTGTGTGTTGCCCGTGACGCTCTCCAGCTAATCAGACGAACAAGACACGAGAACTTCGAGTCTTCCTATTTTCTGCTTCACCGTCCGTCCTTCTAGAGACCAGGGACTGCAAACCTTGTTTGTGAGCGAATAGGAACAGCCACATCCTGGTTGTCCAGTGAAGCTAGCAAAGCCCTGTGCCTCCTGATTTCGGTTTTGCAACGCCAGCCAGCGCCAGCCACTAGCCGTGGGACCCCCGGCTCCCCGCCAGAGCCCACCGTCCAACCGCTAATCACTGCCTGAATCAGGTTGTAACTTGCCTGACCGTCAGCGGACCGTTCCATGGAAGCGTGCTGGGGTACCTCACTGCAATCGACGCCCTCCAGATCTTATCCGCGAAATTAACAACACTCACTCACCCTGGTCGTCCCCCTAGACTCTTCACTTAAGGTTTCGACCAAGGAAAAAGCAAAAACAAACCAAAAAGAGCAAAGGAAGAGAGAAAGAAAAAGCAAAATCAGCCAACCGGACAAAAGAGCTGTCATATTTTTAAACTCTTGTCTCTTATTTATCCCGCTGCAACGGTTTTTTTGTTTGTTATTTGCCTGTTGCTGTCCGAATAAGGTTTATATATCAATACAGCATTCCCGCCCGTTTGGGTTGATTGTCTCGATCGCCTCATATGCACCCTGAATATACTGAATAGCCCCCTTTTTGCACAGACTCCCCAGGTTTTATATAAACCTTCCCCCGGACTGTTCATTCATCCACATCTTCATAACCTCTCCTTTCTGTATACCGCCAACATCCACACAGGCAAGCAAAACCTTCTTATAACAGAAGTCATCTCATCTTCTCCTCACTACTACAGCAATAATCTTTTCTATGAACATCGATACAAGCCACAAACTTCCCCTATCAGCAAAATGCGATACGGATTCGGCTTCAACAAGAGCACACTCTCCTCGCCATCTACCTCACCATCCTCTCTTCCTCCACCACCCCCTCCACCTTCTCCCAACGACTCTCTCCTCGACATTGCTCCCCGCAAAACCTCCTTCTCCATGACGTCGGGTGGAAACACTTCATGTGCTTTTCCCTCTTGGCCCAACCGGTCCTCGCTCTTCTCTGATTCTGACTCCTGCGCCAGTGCATACCTGTCAGACGAGGATCTCTTTCTACCGCCATCTTCGTCATCTGGATCCGAGTCAGCCCTGGAGGATGAATCTGTTTCGTACCAACCAGTGTTTGCAGCAGAGTTGACGACGGAGGAGCAAATCAGCATGATCAATGGGGCAGCAGAAGTAGAGGAGCGACGACGACAGTATTTAGCCAACGCTCATGCACAACTTCGCGCACAACAAGCACAACGAGCCGCCCGAATACTTGCTGCTGAGCAATCGGGCGGAAAGCGAAGAAAGCGACGCGAGGTTACTGAGAAGAAGGGGAGGACAGCATCCTCGTCGTCGCCATCTCCAAAGTCATCCTCTAGTTAAGTGTGTGGGATGTGCACTATTTTCTTTCACATGCATCTCCTTTTTACATCTTTTACGCCACCAACAAAATACACCAGACCCACACAAACCCACAAACCCACACACACACACACACACACACACACACACACATTGAACTCAAAGCAGTGCTTGGGGTTTCTCTCCAACTCCTTTTCGCCAGGCCTACATGTGATAAAAGATAAAGAAGATTACCGCACAACCCAGCATGAGAATTTCTCGGGCTGAGTCGCGAGCGATGGGCTTTGACGCATTAATCTGAGCACTCAAGCCCAAGACAAGCCCGACCCGACCCCGATTACCTTGGAATGACGAAATCATTCTGCTCTTACATGCTGTCTACCGCCTCTTTGGATGTTATTCATATACTATGCCAACAACTTCATGGACAGCAGCACCAGTTTGAAACAATTAATTGATGATATTTCTTCTTTTTTAAAAAACCAAAAACCCCCCCGGTCCTTGTCATATAGGCAAATGTGACTTGCATGTGGCCTGGATGTGACGTGACGTGACAACACTAAAGAGAGAACCGTTTTTTTTTAATGCTTTTTGGTTGTCAGGCAGTCGTTGCATTTCTGTTGCAGCTAGGGGTCAGCGGTTGGTTGAACGTCCGCAATACGGGGCGCCGGATACGACATTCCGGTTAAACGCTTTTACACCGCTTCACAAAGCCGACAAGGACAGATCAGCATGCAGTATGAAGAGCTTCATAACTAAATTTCATGTTTTGCGGCGTGGTGACTCATTTTGGGATTTGTCATCTGAACACGTTTCTTCGGATTAGAGAAGCAGACAGCAGGACGCAGAGTGGTTGGCTGGTTGGTTGAGCGGTCGGTGATGGGGTGCGCTTCTCCCTTTGGTGCCCGACCGATGGTTGTGGGTGTTGGATGGTTTTCTGCCTGTCGGAACCCCACGCCTGCCCTGCTTATTCAGCCTATGGCAGCCCACGCCCTGTTCTTTCCTCACCGCCTCTTGACGCTGACTTGTTGTCGTCTTCCTGTGTCCTGCTTGCTTGCTTGCTTGCTCTATGGATTAAGGTACTCTATACATGTACAGCATAGTGACCTCACCAGGCTGCTATTGATTCATCTCTCACCCTATCCCCCCTCCTTTTCCCTGTGTGGGTTTTGGAGTGTTTTGTTGTTTCTTCATCTCTTCTGGTCTCTTTGCACGATGTTACCCATTAGCATTTGGGTTTTCATGTTGGTTTTTTTTTTTCTTTCTTTATAATCCAGCACACAGCAAAGCATAACATCACAGCGTTCGGGAAAGCATCCATCTTGTTTCTTGTCCTTATTTCATCAGCGCCTCATTTTCTATTACCGGTTTTCTTGCATTATACCCTCACCAATTTTGACAGCGTTTTCTGTTTTCTGTTTCTTGGTTTTTTTACATTTCCCCCCTTTGCTAATCATTCTTACTATTGCTTAATTCTTGCTTAGGTTCTCTGATACCGCAGCTGCGCTGGCGAAATCAATTAATAATGGCCTGTTTATGTAATTTATTTAATTTTTCTTTAGTTTTTTTTTTTTTTCTTTTCTTTTCTTTCTTTTCTTTTCAAAATTTTTTTCCCTCTTATGTATGCCTGCCTCTCTTGGATCTGTTAGATCATCTCTCGTTTGAGGCTCTGCAAAGGGTTGAGGGAGATCATCTGGAGTCATCTTTTGTCTTTTTCCTTATCCTTGCTTGGGATTACATTTTGGGATTGCAAGGTTGCATTACTGCATCGCATTTTGCAGTGGTCATATATTATTTGCAATAGTTATACGTTCATAACTCCGTACGTACGGGTTAATTTAGCTAGAACCTAGTTAGTAATTTAGTTTAGTAGGGTCGTTAGGTAGCCTATCTATCTATATCTGTCATCAGAATACAATTCAAATCATCCACATACTACAAATGCAAAAGTCTTCTCTATTGTCTTCTTGGTTTGGGTTCTGGTTTTCCTTTCCGCGTCAGCAGTAGTTCTAATGGTAAGTGGTTTGTTTCTTGCATTCCTCGTTCGGGTGAAATGGGGTCTGGATTTGGAATCAACGGGTTTGCCCGGGGAAAGGGGTGGTGGGGAGGAGGGGCGCGTTTAGGGGTTTTGGGCAATTGTTCCTTGGGGTTTAAGACCTGAGCCACGGAATGTGAGATTGTAGGATTCTGGGACTTGGGATTTGGAAAAATATTATGGCCGGGGGGAATACGGATACACCCTGTGTGGAATCTGGTCGTTAATGGATATTTCCAGACGGGAAGAACTGCGCCAGCAGAGGAATATGGCAACGACGTCATTCTTCGTGATTTATCTTTTTCCTACCCGTTCCTAGATACCTAGGTAGGTAGTTATCCCGGGGATTCCCGACTTAATTTTTGCAAGCTTGTGGTTGGGTAATATGGGGGATGCCCGTGAACACTAGGATGGGGTATGTCATGCGGTTGTGTGTTTTGAAGGGTTACGTCGGTATAGGCGGAGAGGCTGAGGGGGGGGATGGATGGAGCCTGTCAGAGCAGGAGCTGCGAACAGTGGATGAAATGTGTGAATCGGGGCTGATGGATATAGGGCTGATGCCTCTGGTTGCTCAGCCATGCCATGCGGATGCTGTATCAGGTTACAAAAATGGGGGGGGATAATAGTAGTAGGGAATGTCTTTGGGGGAAGGGCTGTGTCAGGATGCAGTCATTTCTCTCAACAGCTGCCCAAGGTGATGCGTGTTTTATAACGCATATATATCTCGATTTGTTGTTTGATTTTTGTATCTGGAATTTTCTTTGATGTAGTTATGTATTGTACGTAGTTAAAAGGAAGGAGGGCTTCTGGTGTGGACTTGGGTGCATTTACACCTGCATGCGTTTAATTCGGTGGCAGGTGAGGATGGGATAAGGAGTTGGAGGCGGGAATGTAGATAGAGGTGTATAGGCAGCACCATACCACTGACATGTATATTATTGATCAATTATTTCACATGTGGGTGGCCATCATAACGAGGATACTATCCCACCCCACACTCCAACGCCGCCGTCGCTTCCCGAGGCTGACAGTTCATTATACGTCCAGTATCTGCCTCAAGTGAGATTATTTATTTTCGGTCGGTATGGGCGTGTTATGAGCAATTTGAAAATGACAGTGAGGTGCACTGGCACTCCTGCCTATCTGTGCCTGGGTGGGGTGGTAAGTGATGTTCATTAATTGATGAAGCCTAGCAAGCATGATAAGTTCACTCTCTAGGAAGAGCTATTGAATATCTTCGTCCTGCTAGGAAGCGTGGGCTGAAGCCATCTTTCCGGTCGTGATATTATTTCCTGTTTTTACGCTACGTTGCGCAGAAAGGAATCGAAAGGACGAAAAGAGAGGATGAAGTATGGAGAACGCTAAAGGAGTCCTGCAAGTAAATATGTGATAATTCAATTCGCAACTTTAGGTTTAAATCACAGTTCAGTCATAGAAAATCAAGAAGCTAAGGGTGGAAAAAACATCACAGGAAAATAAGATATGAAACAACATGGTAATCAGCACCCAACAAACCCCAGCCCAACCCTTCCTCAGAATTCATCCCGAAACTCCCATATGAAGAAAATGACACCCATATTGAGTTGGTTTAGAAAGAACTGCCACTCGCTGCCGCGAAACACGCTGCCTTTGGTGTTCCACAAATTTGAGTTAAAAAAAAGGAGAAAAGATTTTTGCGGAGACAATCCGATATCCAGCAGAAAGGCAATAATAACGCAATTTCAAAGGAGCGAAAAGAGATCGATATTTGGTATCTGGCTACTTATGATGACTGGCGTGCTTGAGCCCGTATGAACCGTAATCTCAAATATTTCCGATATGTGGAACGCACCACCAAGACGGAAGGATGGCAATAAAGAATAAATGGAGACGCGGTTAAAATTACAAACAAATGGCGACTCAAGGAATTTTGCACATTTCCCTTCGAAGCCCTATCCGGCGAGAACGTTTCGGGACGACCAGTTTACTGCGATAATTTATTAGCTGAATGTGTATGAAAGAAGCCATTTTATCAACATACAGAAATCTCATCCATTCCCAAATCTTCGCCACCGGCCGCGGCTGGTTGCGCGGTTCCATTAATTGCAGCGGGGGCTGCATTGTTGGCAGGGAAATAATCTTCCATCTCAGCATCGAGTTCTGCAACAGTCTTGGGCTTTGGGCGTCCAGCGTTCCGTCCACGACGAGGACGTCCACGCTTCGAAGCCGCGCTGCCCTTCGTGGCTGAGACAGGTTTGGGCTGAGGTTTTGGTTGACTATTACTTTTGTTAGTTGGCAGATGGAAACAATGGGTTTATAATTAACAACTTACGCGACACGCTCTGTAAGCAGCTTCACAGCAGGGACAGTGGGAGCACGAGAAGCATCAAGAACGACCTCAATCTATCCAAGTAATGTTAGCATGCGCGTATATTAGATCTCATTGAGTTCGTTTATTCAGTACCTTGATTGGTCGTTTGTCGATAAGAAGTCCATTCAGCTCCTTTGCTGCTTTTGCTGCGGTGTCGGGGCGAACGAAGGTAATGGCGGCAATGCCACGACTAGTGCCGTTCTGGTTGTAGGTGAGCATGACCTTCTTCACAGGTCCAGCAGATTTGTGGAAATATTCCTAATATGACGTTAAAAACCCATTAGTATTTAAATTTGCGGCATTAGACGATGAGTTGAATGCATGACCGAAATTTGAACAACGGAAAATTGAAGCCGCCCCATAAAACCCGCCATTAACCATGTCAAGGTGAAGCAGATCAGCGAGCACAGAGAGTGACAACACAGGGTTAGTAGTCAGTATCGAGTCCCAATTAGACAGTAGTGGCTCGCACACGGGTGGTGTATTAGATTACCGCTGTAATCCCCCTGTCACCACCAAACTTCACACCGCAATCCGGCCAGAGCACGTTCCACGCGGTACCAAAGAAAACCGAACCAAAACGAAAGCACTGATTCCCCAATCAAACATATCAAGTCCCCCTTTATTCAGCAACACTGTCTAAACAGGGTTCCGTAAGACAAGATATGGGGGCCACCGCTGCCCGTCATGCAACAAATCTAATGGACAGAAGCAAGCAAGACAACAGTGAATCGCGTGCGTGATAAGAATAGGCTCCTTTAAATGCCTTTTCCATGGTTGTGCACAGGTTGCAGTTTGTCAACAGGATCAACAGGACAAGCCATGTAGGGTATGGCAGGCAATACGTGATGATATGCCAGAACCATAAGCGAGGAGCAAGGCATGGATATTCTGGGCGCCCTCAATCGACGCATGTTTTTTCAAGAGAACTGTGTCTATGGTTGCAGGCGGAATAAACCGAGATGAGCGGTAGCTAGACTGTTTATGCTGTGTTGCTCAATCACTTCTGCGCTCGCTGATTACCATCCCCTCCAAGAAGAAATATATCAACGCGTTCCACAGTTGCGTGTATACAATTGGATCTCTCCCAAGCCAACCTTCTTAACACAGTCTGCGTCCTGTTGTCTACGTGTAGCTCCCAGAGATGGCAGACAGACACGCTAGACACAGGAGAAGCGCGACGATGACGATGATGACAGGGCTTAGCTTGCTACGCTTTGCATCAGGCCAATGAGGGGGCGAGCAAAAGCTGCGAGAGTGCCATCTGTCGTGTATGTTGCAAAATAACAACAGGAGGTATGCATGCCACGAAACAGGCAGAATGTGATATGGGAAAGAAAAGGTATGACGAGTTCGTTTGTGCATCGAAGCATGTATCTCAAACGGAGACGGCGATGGAAACCCAGAAAGATGCCCTCTATCAACATACCTTGATATTCGCTTCATTGACATCGGAGGGCTGGCACAAGTTAGTATATGGTTGTTTTTGCTTCTAAGTTTATTCATGCTAATGATGATAATGATTGTGATTTTGTTATTATATAAAAGAAAAATAGAAACCTACCAAGCCGCTCACGATAATCTTGCTTTCACCCAGACCTAGAGCTGGCCCGGTGGGGATAGACTTGGAGGATGATTTTGCATGCCTTGTGAATTTTCTGACCCCACCTACGGGGGCAGCGTGCGCAGGCCTCGAGGACCTGGAGTCGCGACGACGCTGGGAGCCACGACGGCCAGCACGCCTGGAGCTGAGGATGTCGTCAAGAGACTTGTCAAGCTTGTCGGCCATGACGGTTAACTTTGGGAGGAAACACTGAAGAGATAGAGACTACGAGCAGAGAATCGTGCTTGCGTGTTTGTCTCTGATCACAGCAGCGGCAAGGTTTCTCGGTGATTAGATGGATGATGGGAGAGTTGCTATGGCGGTCGTTGGCGGTTAAAGAGGAGAAGAAGATGGGATGGAGCCTGATGGCGAGTTGAAGAGACAGAAGTGACGCGAAGAGGCAGAAACAGCAGAGGGGTGGCAGTGACACAGCGACTGAGTGAAGGTAACAAGAAGATAAGGAATCCAAGTCACTGATTGTGAAGATGCGCCTTGGCTACGGGTGGGAGTTAGAGCGGGAGGAGCAGATGGACGAGGATGAGGTTCGTGGATGAGATTTTGTGTGATGTTGGAATGAACAAGTCTGCGCTATCCCGAAAAGGGGAAAGCCCCTAAAAACAAAAACGCGGATGACTAAGTGTAATGGACGCTAGGCTAGCTACTATAGAACTAGTGTGTTCCCTATTCAGTATTAGTGCTGTTATCGGGATTTTCCTAGTTAGTTAACTAACTATTATCAAGTTATTCCTAATTAATCAAGGGATCAGCCAGATCTACCAATTAGCTTGTAACTAAGTAATGGGACAGTACGGAATAGATTCATTCACAAACGAACGTCCTGGGATGTGTAATTACCCCACACGTGCATCATGCTATTCAAAGTAGATTTGCGTAAATTACGGAGTTGCAGTATCATATATTCATTTCCTCAGCAATGAAAAGGAAAAACGGTCTTATACCAGAATAACAAAATCCCAAATTTCCTCCTCTCCCTAAAACGCCGTTTTGACACATGGGAAGCGCAAAGTAAAATCAAAAAGGACAACCACGAAATTCCACGACTTTCTACGGAAAGTGCTAAAGCTGAATACGATGAAAGGCATCTGGGGGGCCAGATCGAAATATAGAGTCTATGGAGACATAGAGCGGGAAGGAATAGCAGGGAAACCCGAGGTTTATCTCTAATCAGCTCTTCAACGCCTCGAGCCGCCCTCGCATCTGTGCAAGGGTTTCTTCCTGGTCCTCGAATTCTTCTTCCGCCGGCTCCTCCTCCACCTTGCCCTCTGGCTTAAGCCCTTCCACCTTGGACAGCTTGCCCTGGAGGATCTCCTGCAGAACCTTGTCGACTTCGGACTCGGCCTCTTCCTCTTCTCCCTCTAGCAGCTGGTCTTGGGGAATCATATCGTCGACCAGTTCTTCGATTATCCCCGCCTTGACCAGTTCCATACCTAGATAATTGAAGGTTAGCATAGCATACGTAGGAACATGTACAAATGGTTTTTTTTTTTTTTTTGGGGGGGGGGGGGGTGGGGGGAGGGAATTTGTTTGTTTGTTTGTTTGTTTTTGGGGGGGCAGTAAAATATA